CAAAATAATTAATGTTAATAATTTTACAAGGAGATTTATTCTCGTCACTTATGTGCGTCCGTTCGCTTGGGAGATTTCTGCTCGAATGCCTTTGTGGCTTTGTCCGAACAGGCAACCAACGGCTCCTCCCTTATCTCCTCTTAGAAGAAACACTTTTCAAGAAGAGCGCATAAACACATCCCAAAAAGGCCATGTGGTCCGTCGCTAGGCCAGTCCGCCACAAATTCAAAAACCATGCATTTTCGGTTCTAACACTTTTTCTGGGACACCGTGTATTAAAAAAAAGTCGTAACTTAGATAACAGACCGCGACGATGAAAGTTCATGTTTATATACTTCGTTCCGTTTCGATAATTAATTTTGTTAGCCGCCAGATTGATTTACGACAGTGGCTTTTCTACTGGAAAATTAATTAAAGGAGTCTTTTGTTCTGTGGAGGAAACGAACGCACGCGATGAGCCTCTCGGTTGCGTCATACTTTTACCCGGTCTGGTTCTGTTGTCTAATTTTCATCCGCGGCTAATAGCCCCGGGCAACTTTTACCTGAGATACGGGAGGAATGTTCGTGATTTCGGTGAAGGTAATCGTCCCCGACAGGCGAGGTGGTATTAGCGAATGAATGAACTAGAAAAATACAGGCAGGCTCGCGTGTATGGCAGGGTTTCGTTGAATTCACAGAGGCAGGGGGAAGGGTATTACAATCGATAGAACGCAGTTTTATTCATACACTCGCACCCAGTATTATCGTAGTTCTTAGAATTGTTCGCCAATTTATTTACAACAAAGAGGAATATTAATATTCCGTTCCTGTTCGTCGGGTATCCCCGGTTGTGTTTCCCCCCAGGCAGATGCGAGTGAGTCACGCCGGTACGCAACGTCAGCTGCCGATCGGCTATTGATAGAATGCGGATTTCATTTAGAACAGAATCCAATCAAACGTCGTTTTAAATTGTATGAAGAGTAAACCGGAATCGTATGATTATGATGACACAGCGTAAAATTTTTCGCTGGGAATTACGAAATAAAATTAATATCTCTTATTTAATAAAAATTCCAAAAAATCTTAAATCTTCTACCTCTCAAGTACCTCCCAAGCTACTCGATTATATAAATATTGTTATTATTATTATTATTATTATTAT